CCCCCCCCCCCCCCCGCCACACCCGCCACATACCTGTCTCCCTGCCTCACCTGTTTTCCCGCTGTCGGCTCGTGATTGGCTGCTTGTCGGCTCCAGGAGGTTTAAAGGAGGAGGAGGGAGTCCTGCAGCTCCTCACTCTCCTCTCGGCAGGAAACTTCATCCATCATGTCCTCTCGCACCTCCTCCACGTTTGGCTCCGGCGGCTCCATGACCAGACGCGTGTCCTCCATGAGGGCCGGCAGTGTGTACGGCGGCGCCGGAGGCTCAGGGGTCCGCATCTCCTCCTCCTCCATGATGGGAGGAGGAGGAGGAGGAGGAGGAGGCTACAGCTACAGCGCGTCCAGCTCGATCAGGAACGAGAAGTTCGCCATGCAGAACCTGAACGAACAGCTGGCCACCTACCTGGAGAAGGTCCGCTCCCTGGAGAGGTCCAACGGGGAGCTGGAGCTCAAGATCAGGCAGTTCCTGGAGAGCAAGGTCGGTCCGAGCACCAGAGACTACGGAGCCTTCTACGGCACCATCTCTGACGTCACTGCCAAGGTAACTCCTCCTCTTCGTCCTCCTCCTCTTAGTATAAACAGTATCAGTAGTAGTATCAGTATCAGTAGCAGTATCAGTAATAGTATCAGTAGTAGTATCAGTAGTAGTATCAGTAGCAGTATCAGTAGCAGTATCAGTAGTAGTATCAGTAGCAGTATCAGTAGTAGTATCAGTAGTAGTATCAGTAGTAGTATCAGTAGCAGTATCAGTATCAGTAGTAGTATCAGTATCAGTATCAGTATCAGTAGCAGTAGCAGTATCAGTAGTAGTATCAGTATCAGTATCAGTAGCAGTATCAGTAGCAGTATCAGTAGTAGTATCAGTATCAGTAGCAGTATCAGTAGCAGTAGCAGTATCAGTGGTAGTATCAGTATCAGTATCAGTATCAGTAGCAGTAGTAGTATCAGTAGCAGTAGCAGTATCAGTAGCAGTATCAGTAGCAGTATCAGTAGCAGTATCAGTAGTAGTATCAGTAGCAGTATCAGTATCAGTAGTAGTATCAGTAGCAGTATCAGTATCAGTAGTAGTATCAGTAGCAGTAGCAGTAGCAGTATCAGTAGTAGTATCAATATCAGTAGTAGTATCAGTAGCAGTATCAGTAGCAGTATCAGTAGTAGTATCAGTAGCAGTATCAGTATCAGTAGTAGTATCAGTAGCAGTAGCAGTATCAGTAGCAGTAGCAGTATCAGTATCAGTATCAGTGGTAGTAGCAGTATCAGTAGCAGTATCAGTAGTAGTATCAGTAGTAGTATCAGTAGTATAGTAGTATCAGTAGTAGTATCAGTAGTAGTATCAGTAGTATCGGTGGTGATGAGTCATCATGTTTCTTTATAAAACAAAAGTTGAATTTATAAACATGAAGACGAATAATAAAACTTGTGTTTGTACTGTAGTACTGAACATATATAATTGTAGTGTTGGTACTCTCACCTGATGTCACTCTGATGTGATGATGTCACAGATTCAGGCGGCCATCAAGGTGAACGGAGCGATTCATCTGAACATCGACAATGCACAACTAGCTGCAGACGACTTCGGGACCAAGTGAGACACACACACACGCACGCACACACACACACACGCACACACACACGCGCACACACACACACGCACGCACACACACACGCGCATACACACACGCGCACACACACGAAAACATGGACCAATGAGATGAAATATCAAATGAGAGTTCAACTTCCATCTTGTAGTACTAGCTGTAGTATTAGCTGTAGTACTAGCTGTAGTACTAGTAGTAGTACTAAAGTTAATGACTTCAGGTCAGACCTGATCAGTTTCTATGAGAAGTGGGCGGAGTCAGTGTGTTAAACACCTGTACAGCAGTCAGTGAGTACACCGTCTAAAAAAATAATTTCAACTGTTCTGAAGTCAGTTAACCATCAAAAGTTACAAATGTTGTACTTTTATTTTGTTATAGTAATTTAATGTGTTTTTTTCTTCATAAAAACACATTTCAAACGATAAGGAAATCAAATATTGTATCTTTATTGATTAGAACACTGGTACGTGAGTATTTAGCGACTCTTAAGTCAAACAGCAGCTCTGACGTCTTCACACCTGCTGCAGGTTCGAGAACGAGCTGGCCATGCGTCAGTCGGTGGAGGCCGACATCGGCGGTCTGAGGAGGGTCCTGGACGAGCTGACCCTGAGCCGGACCGACCTGGAGATGCAGATCGAGGGCCTGAAGGAGGAGCTGATCTTCCTCAAGCAGAATGGGGCGATTGTGGCTAAGTGGAGAGCAGGGCCGTCTTTCAATCAGAGGGTCGGCGGTTCAAACTCCGGCTCCGCTAGTCACATGTCGATGTGTCCTTGAGCAAGACACTTAACCCCAAAATTGCTCCCGTAGCTGTGCCTACGGTGTAGAAATGTGATAGACTCTGAATTGTAAGTCGCTTTGGATAAAAGCGTCTGCTAAATGACTGTACTGTAATGTAAGAACCACGAGGAGGAGCTGCTGTCCTCGCACTCTAACATGAGCGGCCAGGTGAACGTGGAGGTGGACGCCACTCCTCAGCAGGACCTCTCCAAGGTGATGGCCGACATCCGGGAGCACTACGAGAGCATCGCCGCCAAGAACCAGAGGGAGCTGGAGGTAAGGTAAGGCTGTGACATCACTTCCTGCCGACGCTGCCCGTCCGTTGCCATCGTGTGATCGAGCGTTTGTTCCCCGCAGTCGGAGACTCTGACCAGAGAGAAGGTCTCTCAGACGGAGACGCTGTAGACGAGCAGGTCGGAGGTCACGGAGGTGAAGCGGACGCTGCAGTCGCTGCAGATCGAGCTGCTGGGCATGGTGAGCCAAAGTACTACTACCGCTGTGTACAAGTACCGCTACCGCTGTGTACAAGTACCACTGTGTACAAGTACCACTACCACTGTGTACAAGTACCGCTGTGTACAAGTACTACTACCGCTGTGTACAAGTCCACTGTAGAGGGTAGACGTCCTGCATTCACAGTGCTACTGAAGTCATCAGTATTTAAGGAGGCATTACAGGAGAAAGTGTTTTCATAGAAATACATTCTTTGTAAACATTGAATGATTGTTAAACATGAATGTGAGCGATGCTGCAGACTCAACACATGAGATGAACAGAAACACTAACTTGTGTCTCTGTGTGCAGAAAGCGTCTCTGGAGGGAACTCTGGCTGACACACAGAACCACTTCTCCATGCAGCTCTCTGGGTACCAGATGCAGGTGAGACAGAACACCTGTTGAACGATGCCGCTTCGTATCGCTGCACTTTGGTTCAGACTCTTACCTGAGAGATCTCCTCCTGCACGTGACCTCCATGGAGGAGCAGCTGATGCAGCTGAGGGCCGACCTGGAGAGGCAGGGACAGGAGTACCAGATGCTGCTGGACATCAAGACCAGACTGGAGATGGAGATCGGCGAGTACAGAAGGCTGCTGGACGGAGAGGGGTGAGTGTTAGCTGGCAGGTGAGACTCCTCAGGTCATCGCCTCACGTACAACACGTACACAACACGCACACAACACGCACACAACACGCACAGAACACGCACACAACACGCACACAACACGCACACAACACGCACA